CTTTGGGGGGTCCGTACGCGGGTACCACGCGGGTTTTGGCGCCCATTTTGGGGATTGGGGGCGGTGAGTGCATATAGATCAAGTTCCCGAATTTTCAGCCCCGCAGCTTTTATAGGCCCTGAGATGAAAGTGCGTGACAGACGCACACACATACACACCGACACATAGACAACCTCTCGTCAGTATGCGTTTTTCGCATTGCATTACTGCAAAAAACGCATAAAAAACTCGGGAATAATCCGAATGATCATACATGCCAACAGCAGCCACTTGGAATTTCGCCTCTTTGGCTAGCTGCAGGAATTCATGATCAAAATGAATAAACGATTTATAGAAGAACCCACTGTCGCAAAAGCGATACTTGCCATAAGTTAAGGGATGAAGATAATTTGCAGTCACTTCAACTTGGTGGCAGTCAGGGCTTCTTCCGAATGATGATGATAATATGAAACAACTGCCCAACGATAACTACCGTATTTGGACCGTATCATGCATAATTGATATGGAAAATGATTTTGCGTGTCCGAAGATGCAAAAAGTGTCCCTGCTTTGTGAGTAGGAGATATAGCACAGCGATATTGTTGTGGAACTGTGACGAGGAAGAGTGCTAAAATTCGATTCAGTTTCGAAGTTTTCATTCCGTACTTCGGCTACTGAAATTTTCATACGATTGCATTGAAGAGAATTGAATTGAACAAGAAAGGCGCTGTTTTCGAATGGATCGTGTGAAACAAACCCATAATTGAAACAAACGTTGGTTTCTTGTTAGGGGAAGAAATGTTTGTGGGAAACAGAGCGGTCCATGTAAGTTTCCCACACTGCTGCTCTTAATAGGCATTTTGCTTTCTGTTTGATTACAGATCTGTGTTAGTTAATGTTTTTGAAGGGAGCATGAGCTGGCAAAAAGACGCGAACGCGATCAGATGGGTGCGCCGGAGAGATCCAGAAATGAAGAATTGGCTGCCAGTGGTAGAGTTGGCCATAATTTTGAGCGGAAAACTTTGCTGCCGCAGGGATTTGGTGCTGAGCAGCAGCCGGAGGGATACCGTCCTCCACTGATCGATGAGCCGCCGCATCCATTCAAGGCTGAAGCAGCAAGAAATTTCAACAGCAACGGTACCTGTTCATTTATTCATGCTTGGATAAACAGTGCTTTTATGCTCCATATCTTTACAGTCATTGTTTTTGTTTCTTATCGTGCGAAGATCATGGAAGGGGGAAAAAAAAAAGATTTCTTTTTGCTGTCGGGAATCAAAATTTTTGGATTTTATTTTATATAAGAGGCGAAGACATTCGCAGTTAGTTTAAATAATAGCACTTAATAATTAACTGGTTTGGCAAGAATATGATGGTTCCTTTTCCAAGGGTTGCTCATGAAACAGTTCAAGGCAGTTTCTTTCTGGATTGCTTTTGCCTCGCATACAGACTAAAATCTAAAAGTTTTAATTCGCGGCAGCGAAAAAACCCCGAGCTTGCTAATAACAGTTAATTATCAGAATGGATCCATTGTAAATAACTGACAGGTTAGAGTGTGGGGATAGAAATGCTGGTGGGAAAAGCCGGATTTCAAATCGAGATGGTCAGATCCAGTTGCTAACTCTTAATCGTCTAAAATACGATAAAGACGATCCGAGAATGTTCGGCAGTTGTGAAAATTCAGTTATATTCTCGCCTTTGTTGAGTTGCGTTTTGACAGCTGAGAATTTTACATTATTTATTTGGATAGCCTTGTTTTAGCTGCCTAAAAGTATCTCAGTTTTCTGTAATTGTGGCTTGGGCCTGGTATTTTTTTTTTTTTTTTCTTGCAACATACCGATTTAGGTCCAGCGGATTGGCGTTTGGAGGATATGCTGGATGGGCAGTCGGTATTCAACGCCCAGAGTATTCAGAGTATGTTTTAGATCTAGCTTTTCTGTAGTACAATTTTTCGTTGAAATTTGTGAATTAAACTTATTATACTTCATAATACAGATGCACAAATGCGGATTGCCAACGATGCGAGTTTGAGTGCTGCGCAAATAGCCCGCGCTCGTGAACTTCTTCAGGAACTGCTATTCACAATCACCGTGAAACCGGAGCATATGCCGCTGAGTAAGTTTATTTTTGGCTATTTGATTCAAATTTTTTGCTTGTGGGGTATGCAAATTAGTGCTAAACTCCTCTGCTTGCTTGGATCATCTCTGATAAAAAGTTTTTTTTATTTCAAACAAAAATTAAATCCCTTTCCTGCAGTTGTTTCCGGTGTATTTCCGCTTTTTTGAGTAAAATAAGCCCTGTACCAGAAGCGGAAGTAAGCTGGGAGTAAGTGGCCTTCCCTTTCAAAGATTGCTTGGAGAAGGCAGCTACCGAAACTTGGCTGGGCCGGCATTCTACACGATTTGCGAGGATTTTTTTCTGACTGTGGCGACTGGGTTGCTTCATGCCGCGAAATAGCGTTAGCGGTGATGCAGAGTGACGGCCAAGCCAAGTTTTAGTAATTGCCTTGTGTTGGAGAATGCACATGACGGGTTCAACACCTCGGCATGCATCAGTACTTTTATGCACGAAAAAAGTGAGGGAATTGTAGATGGAGTGATTGCTCAACTGTCGAATTTGCACCCCCCTCTTCAGCATTGCTTGCCGGCCATTTGATACGTTAAAATTGCTGGTTTCTACACGTGTTTTTCATGTCATTTTGTATATGCCCGAACTGCCACATTTGGCTGGTACGGTAGAGCTGGCACGATAAGCTGGGTTTTTTATATATTTTAGTTCCAATAAACTTTCTGGCGCGAAGCTTTTATCTTTTATTTTGACTATTAATATGTTTATGTTGCGGCTAAGTTGAGCTTCTCGAACTCTCGAACTTTTCTTTTGCAGATGGAGGTGCGGAAATGCCAGAAGCTCGTCGTATGGGTAGCGGTGGTGACGGGCATCGCTTTGGTACTGAGGATGAAAAACGTCCAAATTTTACCGATCGTTGGACTTCCGAATATCCCCCTTCTGAGATTTTACCGCCATATTCACCCATTCACCAACAAGCAATGGGACCAGTTCCAGCACGTGAACGTGATTTTCCACGTACTCAGAATCCGCCTGCAACATCACCTTGGCCTACGGATTCATCAGCTGCAGCTGGATATCATCCACAGCGAGAACCCGTGGAACCGCATAAAATCCCAGAAAAGGGTCGGCCGGATATAAGTATGATTTATTTATGAATATTCTTGAATGTTTACTGGCTTTAAAAAATTTATTTCATTCTTTAAGGAAATTCAGGTGCGAGTTCTGGTTTTTTATGTTTTTTGTTACTGTACAATTTTAGTTGCCGGACCACGAGGCGGTTTTCATGCGATGGAATCACGAATGCAGATCACTAGAGATTTCAAAGACAGAAGAGAAAAAGCGTATGACGAGATGACGTTCGCGTCTGATAGATCGAGAGGCTCGCTCCGACACCATGCGCGCCATCGATCTCGCTCACGCAGTCGTAGCAAAGACCGAAACCACCGTAATTTTTTTTTTTTCAACATTAAAGAAAAAATAAATTTTTATATTTTTTTTTAGAGCGCGGCGACTGAATACTTCAGATCCGGTCATTTGGTTTGCCAAAGTTTCTGCTATCAATTAGTGCTGTCATTTTTTCACATCTTTTTCAATATTGAGTTGACTTTTTGCTTTCTAATTTTGGCTTCAAAATCCTTCCCTCCACTGGTTTGCTACTGCAAGAACGCTTTTTCTTAGCAGCTTCTCGCCTTCCGGTTGTCGATTCGCCCCTGTAGACTGGGCGGGAAGCACAGAGAATACTGGTGTCATTATTTTGTTTTTTTTTTTATGCTTCCGGTATTGCTTCGTGAATTTTACATGCATTTGCATACTTTATCTTAATTGAAGCAAAAATATTCATGAAAGACAAAAACAGAATAGTAGGATTGATTTTTCTGAGATATAATTATTTGATTAGGTTTGGATGCTGGAAAGCGCGAGATGGAGACCCGGCCGAGACATTTTGATGGCAGAGGTATGGCTGGTCGAGGTGAGATTGGTCGTCCTTTCGGAGAGGTTTGTTAAATTGTTTCTTGTTGTGGAAAAATCAGGCTGTTTGGAGCATCAGAATGGATTGTTTTAT